TAAAATAAAGACAGATGTTTTTCCCAAACTGCTAAACAGTTATTTTCTAAGCCACTGCCTCCTTTCTCCTTTGCTGACAGGCTCTTTCAGAGAGGGTATTGCTCATTCCTCCATGAAGTAACTCACAATGGATTATCTTAGCATAATACTCCAGGTTGTAACATGTCCAATGCTTATCTGGACCTCCCTAGACTTTGCAGCTCACATTGTCTAACACCTTCCACAGTCAGACTACGTTCTGTTTTGCTGAACACTATTTAAAAAAAAAAAAAAACAAACCAAAAAACAAAACTCTTTGATAGCCAGGTACTTTCTTATTTTTTTTTTTTCCTCAAGAAACTGTCCTACTTCATCATTTTGATACTGCTGCTATCATTTATTCACCAGGAAAACCTACAGAAATTGCTGATAAAAGTTTTAGCAGACATTTGGTAGCCCTTCAAATGACATCCTGACAACAAACAGTAGTTGCAGTTGTTTTAAAAGGAGCTACAAAACTCGTTATTATTAGGTCTTTTCTCTTCCATATGGTTCAGAGGAAATTTTTCGTCTGCTTCTACACCTGTAAGGCTGCAAAGGCTGTGTATTCCCTTATTAACACTGTCATCGAGTCACGGGCAGCTGCTGCCCACTAGCACAGACCAGATCTGTTCCTTAGGGAAACATGAACTACTCAAATTTATTTGCCCAGGCAGCTGCAATGACCACTCTCTAAGTCTGGATATCTATGTCCCCAAAAGAATAGTAAAAATATCAAAAAGTACATAGAAGACTCTTTTTTTCTTCATTAGAAAGAAGGATGATAGATTACGTGTTGTAATATCCAGGGACTGTGGCAACTGAAGGTGGTTTTAGCTCAAATGTAGCACATTAGAAGAAGTAACCTTGCAAGTTTATGAATTATAAGTAAGAGCTTTCCTGGACCAACAGACATTTTGCCATCAAGATGTATAGTGGGCAAAAATTAAACACCCTCTGACCTCGGTTCATTGAGAAATGTCAGCATTTTAAACGAATTGATTTTTCACTCTGCAACTGACAACCATTTCTGAACACACATTCTCTTCATTGTTACCTGGATTACTCACTTCCATAGTCACATTCAAACTCATACCTGAGCTAAACTAAACCCAATGTATTTATGAACTGAAGAAAATATCCATACATTCTAATAGTACAAATATTCCCTTTTTATACTATTATTCTAGTTGTCTATACAGAAAAGGTGGACTTTTTTTTAAATCCATATCTGGTCCAATTGGCAGTATCCTTAATCTTAAATAAAAGACTTTTTCAATCCATAAATCTGAGTCATGATCACATATCAGTTGTGTTTATTAAAGCCAGATAAAATCATAACCTGGACTGATTTCAATAACTTGACCCTGGAACTAAACCAGGATTCTTGCATTATCACAATCCATCTGTAGCATATGGATACTGTTTTTAGGGCTGCTTTCTGAATACAGCAATGTATAATGAATATTCCACTTGCAGAGAGGCTTTAGGAGGAGAAATGCTGGCTAATCATTATAACCTCTGTTCTTCCTAGTCTGCAGATAAACGAATACTATTTTTTTTTCCCATGGAAGTGTTACTAATACTTAAAATGCACAATGAAGAAAAGCCCATAGCACATTCAGATCGACAAGTCTAGCCTGCCACAATAGTCAGTTTTAAATTATAAGAAAAATATTACGTTTTCCTCTTGAGTTTGTGTCCAGTCATAATCAGCAATGAGGACAAATATTTACAGTATAATCACTTTCCTGTCATTCTACTATGTCTTATTTTATCACTTGTATCTACTCAGGTAGTATATAACACACAGTAAACTTTACACAAGGTCAGTGAGGACAAAATGCAGATTTCAGGATGATTAGTGACTCTGCTATTTACTACCAAGGTTTACAAGCAGTGTCAATAAATGCTAAGGTGCAGCTCAAGCCTGCATGAAGCTTCATTTATTTCAGAAAGGCTTTCCACAGGTAAAGGGACATGGTTACACAGATTACAGAATCAAGTCTCAGTGTACTGTGACAGCTCAATCCAAAAATAATAAATGCATGAAGTAGCTCCACTGGAAGCAGGATTCTTCTAGGAAAGTCTGCTAATGACACTGCACTGTTGCACTGATGAATGAGGCTATAAAATGCTTAACTTACTTCAGAGTTTTAAGCAGCAACTCCGAGGCAAAAAAGATTTGCAAAAAAAAAAAAAATAAACTCAAGAAGTCTTGAAAAAACATTACTAAAAATATTAAACATGTTATTGTTAGGATGCTCCATAAATACTATGGTTGTGCAGACAGAGAGAGTGAAATTACTAACAACAGCTAACATGAATTTGTCTAAAATATTATGGCTGATAAAAAGAGAAATGGTAATCCTAATAGGTTTGCTTTCTGTGATCACTTCACAGCCTAACAGCTGAATAAACTATTATAAAGAAAACAATGGAAGGACCGTGTATTTGTTTACATACATATTTCAGCTCCAGTAAAATGACAAACTGTTGGATAACAAAATGCCTTCCCTACAACAATTTTCAGATTGTCTCAATTGCTGTAGCACAATAAAAAAGGATGCTGTTGAATTATTACAGACAAACCCAACACTGTAGCTGGTATTGTAATCACAATGTTTACTCACCTTGCTTATTTTCTGAACAATTCCTAACAGAGAAGTTATTTATATTTTGATTTTACTGGAATCATGGCTTCCAGAGTTTGCTACTGTCAGGAAAGTGCTATGAAGACAGAAGTAGAAACAAGTTTTTCATTTCCATTTGGATGCCTCTGATCAGATGAATTGCCACTGATCACTTCAAACTGATGAATAGTAGGTGCTTTAACACAAGGATTAGCTTCAAGCTCTGCTCTACCCATTGGTACTATCCAGCCTGGAGATACCTGAACAGTAACATTATCCAAACAGGCACCAGAACAATACATTAATCAAACCCTAAGAAACTGTTTACTAAAGGTTTTTCTGTTGTTGCTGTTAAATATAGTTGCTTCAGATATTTTAAACTTAGTGTACCCAAGAGTCAAAGGTAAAAAACTGAAGCTCTAATAAGACAAATAGTGTTCTCTGCCACGGAGCAAGGCTCAGGCAGCAAAAAGCTATGTAAACACCACAAACTGAAAACTCCTACCAAGCTCCTTAAATGTTGCTCGTGAGTACTAGAATTGTGAATCTAGCAAACGCCAAGAATAACAAACAAAATTCATTTCACCCTAAGAACTGATGACAGATGTTTCCTAGTCAGATAAGAACAATAATCCTTTGCCTATAAATGTATAAGCAACAACAGGAGCATGCTTCTTCCAATTATCTGCAAATCTATTGAAATAACAGCATCGAGTTTCTCTTTTGTCCAGCTACAGAAAGAAAATACACAGGGATGTTTTTTTTATTTTATACATATCCCAAAAAATATAATATTGTACTAGCTCACTTTCCATTGAAGTGGAAGAGCTTCCAAAGATCTTGTCTTGTATTTGTGGTAGGTACTACCCTATTAGTAGTCTGCAGGTGCTATACCTCTTTAGTTACTTCCTTCTAATTTGCCTTCAGTCTAACGAAGATGAGAGATGGGGCAGGGGGTGGAGGGAGGAGAAAGGTACCACAAGGTAAACAGTAGTACACCACACATGCAAAGGGCTGTTGTAAAGGCCTGTAAGCATGTATTTACTATGTGGCAAGAGAGACACAAAGATGTGTCTCACCAAGACAAGAGATAAGCCTTTAATGGTCTGGCACAGACAAAGGCAGTTAGGACAGAGCTCTGCTGGTATACTGTGCTTAGGTCATCACCTGTGCCTCTGCTCTCCCAGGCTCCCTTTCAGTGAGGCAAGAGAGACACAAAGATGTGTCTCACCAAGAGATAAGCCTTTAATGTCCTGGCACAGACAAAGGCAGTTAGGACAGAGCTAGCTCTGCTGGTATACTGGTATGCTGGTCATCACCCGTGCCTCTGCTCTCCCAGGCTCCCTTTCAGTGGATTACCTTACCAAAGGTAGCATCTGCTTCTCTGTTTTGACAAATTTAAGAGGGTAAACTCCTCTCAATAGAAATATTTATTTTTACAGGAAACCAAAGCACAGGCAAGACTTGGAAGCAGAGCTGTCAACCTATTTACCAAGTTGCCCTAACTATTCTGCTCTGCTGCCTTTTTGGTACTGCAAAGATCTGTAGACTCAGACTTTCCTATGGGTCAGGGCAGCCAATTTCTGTTTAGACTTGGTGGCAGAGCAAAACGCAGAGCAATAGATGAGGCAGTATAAACAACAAGATTTATTCAGTGTACCAACCACATTCACAGCTGGGAACACTAAAGGAACTGAGATGTGCAGGTGAAGAGGCCAGCAAAGTATTCTACTACCACAGGATGACTGAAATGCTTTGAGAAGTTGTAAGGGTAGCGAACAGTCCATTCACTGAAGACAAAATTAATGACTTCAAATGATGTTTTAAAACATATATTTATTTAAGCTGAAGGTCCCAGGTAGGTCATCCCTGTGTGTCAAATCATAAGAGCTATTAAGCAGAGTAGGGAAGGACATTTTAAAATCAGAACCAGTAACAAACATAATAAATGTTTTCTTTCAGTAAATAACCAGTAAAGTGCATATGGTAGAAATGCAGAGCAGATTCATACCAACTCGGGTAGTTAGGCTTAGAGAGAAAACATCTGCCCAATTTAATCTTTCTAAAGTGCAACCATTTAAGGTATGAAACAGCTGCTGTGAACAAGGTAGACTATATGTCTTTGGCAAAGAATTTGATTTTCTTCAATGTGTTCAAGTTACCATAGAAGTCTTCCTCTGAGCTTGTAAAAGACCACTGGACTTAAGATTGCCATTGATACAGGCTAGACTTTGAATTTTGTTTCCTAAGACATTCCAAATCTCTAACACTGAAAAATCATGTTAAGGCCAAGAGAGAAAAATACAGATTAAACAGCCCATAAGTATTTTAAATAACTGCCATACCCACCTGCTACATTAAGCTTTTCAACTGCTCCTAAGCTGGGAGCAGGAGTGCTAGTATTGTTGGTAGAGTTTGCTCCTGTTCCATTAAGCACAAGATTTTCCACCTTGGACTCCAGCTTCCCAATGCGCTGCAAGATATTATCCAACAAGACAGCAAGTGTCTTCTTCAAATCTACAAATGAAAATGAAAAGTTAAATTGCTTAATAATGCAATGCACACTGTCAGACAGAATCAAAAAATAGATACAGGAATGAGTCTGGAATATATATAGACACTTTCTCAGTGCAAATCTTTGTCATTAGCAATTCTATGCACTAATGTTCCCTACTTTGTTCAGCCTCAGATACAAGTTTCCCTGGATGTGGAACTTGTCTTCCTGTGTATTTTATAAAGCACGCTGCAAATCATATACATATCCTATATTCAAGGTGAAGTGTGCGCCTTCATGGGTACACACGGGAACAAAAAAGTGCATGCTTTGTAATAGCTCAAGTAGTAAGTTGCTTAAATAATAATGAACCTAAACCTAAATCCATATTCAAGCACTAGCAGAGGAACAGGCTGTTAGATGCCCAGTCACCTGGAAACAAAAATCCCCTTCCCAAAAGAACGGACAGCTTTGAACCAGTACAAAAAAAATCTGTATCCTCTCCACCACAACCAGGTTTTACACTGGCCAAAAAAAAAAAAAAAAAACCAAAAGTTAAGTTCAACCTTTCTGTCATATACACAAAACACCATAAATTACCTTTTTCTCTTCTTCAGCCTGTTGGTTATTGCCTCTACCTATCTATTTGGTCTGACACAGCACTTCCTTCACATGGAAAGCACATGGAAACAGGAGTTTGCATATCAAATGACAACCTAGAAAGAGTTCTCCCGTAGTTTTTCTTTCCCTTTTCTTTTGTTCAGATTTCTTGAAGTAACACAGTTACGCTAACTGAAAGAACTGTGGGCAAGAGGGGAAAAATAGACCACTAGCAGACTGAACTGCATCATTATAGTGGCAACAAGCCAAAAAAGATGAAAGAAAGTGTTGTTCTTTGTTCATTTACCCTTGTCTCAGGATTAAAGAATTTGGTATGATGAATTTACATTATTTTCCTATTTAATTACCTAAGATAATTACAAGTGCATATGTAAAATACATTTCCAGCTTTCCACAACTGTAGCATGAAATAACTTTACGATCTGTAATAGAAAATTTCTCCATACATCTGAAGAGATTTCTCTGCCCCAGTATCAGTTGTATTTTTGCCACACTTTTTGTGCTCTCTATTTTTTTTTCCATGACTAGCCCAATTCTTTTGCAAATAAGAGAGTAAATACGAAAAGGCTATTACTTTTAGAAAGCTTATGATTCTTTTTTCCAAATAAAAGGAGAGTCATATTTATTCCATGGAGTAATAAAGTAGATACTTTTCTTTACAACTGTGTGTTTTCCTTTGTCCTTTAAAGATTAGAAGAAGGAATCTCAAGAACTAATGATCTGGACTATCTTAAAAGGGGTCCAGAAATCACTTAACAGTATACCATGAAGAAGAAAAGGAAAGAGCAGAGCAGGGATTTAACATGAACAAAGCCATGGTACAGAAGGATAAAAAAAACCAAACAAACAGGAAAAAAGATAGTTAAAAAAAATAATCAGGAAACAATGAGGAAGCATAGCATACATAAAGATATACACAGAGCATAAAGATAAAAATTGCTAAACGTTGTAATTTTTTATACTGATACCAAAACACTGATATGAGAGACTGCTTACCAGAACACAAAAGCAATTGGAGGCTAGTTTGAAAAGGGGAGGGCAGAAGCACAGATTAATAATAATTTTTGTAGAACAACTGTTTACTGCTATAAAAATCTAATACTCACCATGTATATTTGGACTACAACTTTTAAAAGGGAAGTGTTTGATCCACCTACCTGACAGTCAATATATGGTATAAAGAAGAAGTGAGAAAGCGAACAAGCTGTGCAATCACAATTAAGGAATGACTGAAAACCTTTTGGGTGAGTAAAGGCTGCCAAATCAAGCAAACTTAAAACTTATTCTTGAACATGGGAATAATGACTGTGCTCGCTAATAGCAATCAGAGGATAAGATTAAAAGAAATAAAAAGGCTAAATAGTAAGGGTGTTAATTTTCATACAATAGTGAACCAACTTATACCCATCCTTATTAAGATTAATGTGTTTACTCCTGACCATTTGCTATCAAGAAATTTTGGTACGCCAAACAGGACAAACTAACTTACTTATTAAGTAATTATTTTCTTGCTCAGTTTCACAAAGCGTTATTTAATATGGTGTTATTCACTCACTATAGCACCTTTCCCTCTAATACTTTAAATAAATAATTACCATTATTTTGCATCCTTTCAAACTCCTTAATTGAAAACACCTGTCCAAACTTGTCTTTAAACTTAAAATTCTTCTTAGCCATGGAACTTGAAATTTCTACACAAAACTTAGCTTTACCTTCACAGAAGTGTTACAAAGTTATTTCACCCACTTTCAAATGCAGTTTAACTTCTCCTGGGGAACTTGACCACTGTTTGGCGGCAAGTCAACTTATTCCTCAGCGGGATTTTGAACAGGAAATGAATGCCACAGGCAACAAGTTGCAGGGGGATCTTAGCTCAAGGATAGCCTGTTCTCTCAGACTTTAGCTAGGGCACAGACTAATGCAGTCAATTTCTGGAGACGTGTTGGTTTTTGTGGGTTTTTTTCTTTTTCAATTCACCTACCATCAAGCACCCTTACTAGATAATGGCACACTGATGATGGCTATATAGCAGACAGGGTTTTGTTTTAAGCCTATGCACACAATTCTCTAGGGACCTCTACTTGCTTGGAGGTCTTCCACCTAAATACTGAGCTTGTGTTGCTTTGTAAGATTACAATACTGGTATAGCTCAACATGCAGTTGCAAATCAGCAGAAGTTACATAAAGATGGCTTGTCGTTTAAGCAACAAAGCAATGTAATTGTTAGCTATGTTTAGGATGATAATTTCAGCTTTACAGGCAAGCACCTTCACAGAAGTCAAAAATTCTTTTCTTAGAGGAAAAAAGTGGTAACAGAAACAAGACATGGAGAGAATCTCCTTGCAGAAGATAATTCATTACATGCACCAAAAAGTAAAGAGTATTAAGAGAAAACTAGAGGAAAAGGTTGCATCCTAGTCTTTATTCTTTGTCTAAGCCTACAGAAGACATCTATCCAATTTCTTCAGAGCTGAATATTAAGGCAACTATAAAAGGAAAAAATCTGAATGACTAACTAGCCATTAACTTTCCAGATAGCCTGAAAGTGCATAAGTAAGTGAGTTTAAAAAATGGTGAATGAGTAAGGTGTAAGATGTGATCTTATCAGATTGAAAAAGGGCCACATCTAACCTGAAACTGGATATTTTTATTTTGAGAATATTTTCTGACAATATGTTTCATACTTTTCTGTATGCTTTCTCTCACACATGCAAACAAACTTAACTTGTACAAAACGGAAGAGAGTAAGCATTAAAACTTACTGCCAAACAAGCACTGAAACTCACAGAGTTCTCTACTCTGGGGCAAATATGATATATTTAAGCTTAATATAAGATTAGGAAAGAAGAAGAAATAAACATAGCAGGTCTCCACCTTATCAGTAAGGCAAGTTCTTCTTCCACAAGGAATCTGTTGTATCAATAGCATGCAAACTGGAAAGCCTCCCAAGTTTCTCAAAAACAGCAAAAAAGTTTTTTTTAAAATGAAGTTCTAACAAATAACCTGAGGCATACCAGATATAGCTACTAGACAGATGTAGAAAAATTAGCAGACAACTTCATCTCCAAGTGACTGGAAATGTAAAATTTTCCCATTTCATACTGACAAGCGAAGACTGTTTTCTCCATCTGTGCAGAAAATCCACAGTGCAAAGTACTGTCAATTGAGCAGCATTATGAAGAAAAACGTTTGGACAACTTAGAAAAAACCTTAATCAGATTATCATGTAATCTAGAGCACACACTTACCGTATGCTGTCACTGTCCCAACATAAGGCCCATCAACCACATTTTTATTTTCTTCAGCTAATGCTTTGATGTATCTTTTGCTGAGATCCAAAATTTGCTCACGCAGGACTGAACTGCTTTCGTGTTGTGTTTGCTGCTGAATAGTAAAATGCAGAAGCATCATTCCCCAAATGAAACCAAAAGTCACCAGAAAAAAGCCAAGTTTCTGAGAGGACAGCTTCCATGGAGAGAATGCCATGATTCCCAACAGCTTCATGCAGTTACTACAAAGGTTCCTAAAGCATGAAGCCAAACAGCAAGTTCATGGTCCAGGTATATAAATATTACAGAGCAGGACTCAGTCTTATTCCAACTCCTTAGTCAACGTATATCCGTATTTCAGTTCCATCCTGTTGCAAAAGGAAAGAAAAGAAGCATAGTTACCACAACATATTAGAAGTTTTTACTAGCTATACTAGGTCTTTGCTCTAACTGATACAAAATAGGAGCAGGCAATCTGCTTGCTTTGTAAATGTTTAATTTGTATGTATCAACATTGTACTCTACTAGCCAGAGCACAAAGAAGCTGAGAAAAGCATTGGAAAGAGAACAAAGAGAGAGCGATGCGCCCGAGCAGGTGTAGAACACCTCTCGGTATCTGGATCAAATTCAATGCTTCAAGTGGTTTCTAAGCTGAATTTCAAGGTAAGGCTGCTTTTACATATTTTTGTGTGTGTGTACACAAAACTTTGTGATGTTGGCAGTACAGCAATTTAAGACAATTCTCAGCGTAATTCAGTTCTCAGAAAACAAGTAATTTTAGCTGGCAGTGACACTGCTCGGAGCTCCTGGCAAGAGCTATGGCATATGGCTAGATAGGTGATCAGGAAATCAGACTCCCTCAGGGGTAAAGAGGAAAAAAGAAATCTACATTATTTAAGCCAATACACTCTCCCGGCTTACACTGCAAGCAGTCAGAAGGCTGGAATAATCTGCTCTTGCTCCTGTGTGGCCTCTGCCATGCATAGTTACTCCTTATTCATAAAACATAGCCCAGTGAGTTTGCTGCTCTTTGCACCTAAATTCAAAACACATACTTCCAAATGCTACAACATGTCTTTTGTATGTAAAATTAACATTCTTGGAGCTTTTCACACACTAGGGAAAAAGAATTGCAATAACAGCCTTCAAGACACAGTAGGACCATCTTTTCATGGTAAATTCAAAGATAAAATCTGGCATAAACAATCCAAAGGCAAGAAAAGCTCTGTCATGAGGACCAGAGGCACGGTCCTTAGCATAAAACCCAACAAGAAGAAAGGTAATTAAAAGGTAATTAAGTGTAACCTATCATGTTAAAACACAGATTTGGTAAAATGTTATCCTTTTAACTTCATAATGCTCCCAGACAGGATTAGAGAACATAATGTTCCCTTGCATTCTGCACTTGCACAGATAATGCAGATGTTACTCTGTTTTAATAGGATAATTACACAGATGCCTGCTAGCAGTGCTCCCTGTTTGTTAAAATTCCCTTTAGATCTTCTGCTTTCAGTTGAACCAGCAAACCTGCAAAGGGACAGAAATACCATTGGGCCACTTACCTTCCAACATGGCTTGTGTGTGCATTTAGCATTATTGATTATTATCGACTGTAGAAGTGAATGTGCATTACATAGTAAACTAAAAGCAGACAAGGCAGCAACTGAACTATGCATTTACGTTGCTAAAAGAACAATTTGTAGCCATCTTTTGCTTAAGGAGGAATGGTGCAGAAAAATTAATTGCCAAGTACAGTGAAAAATATTAAAAAGCCCTGAAGTTGACTTTTTCCACACTTAAAATATCTCAATAAAGAAAATGAATGGCCTCAACAGAGAAAATGAAGGACTCTAATGCTGCTCTCCATAAACTTAAGTTAATTTTCCAAGAAATGGCAGAGGGAAGTTTTACTTCTTTCAGTTTATTTAACTATAGCCTTGGGACACTCTTGGGCTGACTAAAAAGTACAGTATTGTTGCTTCATTAAAAACTGGATGTTTTACTATTCTCTTGCTATATCTGGTGTGATAAAATATAGAAGATTCCATAGTTTAAAACAACATCACAACTTTTAAAAAAAATCTGAAATATTCAAGATTAATTCCCTCAGTGACTTAATTTCAAGTAGGAATTGACAGCATCCTCTATGGCAGTAAGACCTGTGGTTATAGCAGTCAATATTTCTTCCCCAATTATCAGTTGTTTGTGAAGTGGGAAACACTGAATAAGAAAGTAAACCTATCATCACCATGTTTTAACAGACAAGTGCTAACGATTTTTTATGACTAGTTGTTTAGGAAAAAAACCCACAGAACATAATTAGCATTAAAAACAGCAATAAAAAATGCAAGTAGTTCACAGTCTTCCTTTTAAGGTTCTAGAACAGAAACAAGGTTGATTACAAAAAACAGTGTATGTCTAACCTATGAGAATGATCTACTTACATACAGCTGTTGACTTTTCTATTCTGTTTATCAACAGAAAAAAAAGCCTTAAATCCACTCAAAAACTGGAAGGAGGCAGACAGCAAATGTTAAAGTTTTGCCGTAAGAAAGGATTACAATTCATTAACAGGTGGAGGAATGGCCCCCACTATTTCAAGTCCTAAAAGCAAAAAAAAACCCAACAAAAAAAACCCAAATCAAAAAACCAAAACCAGACACAAACCAGCCCTATTTTTATTGCCATTTAAGCAATTCCAGTGGCTAGCAACTTGATGAATGCCCAACAACATGTACTTAACTAATTAACTTTACAGCACTGCTGTTGGCCATGGCCATTTGTAAAATGCACTGGAGAACAATCCCTGTGCTTCCCACCGCTTCCATGGCTGGATGCACACCCACACTGACTTTGGTATATGTTTAATCTTAGATTTGATAAATGTCAAGGACTGCAACACAACTATTCCATGGGTAATGATTACCACATACCTATAACAACACATTATTTGGTATCTAAGTGTACGGTCGTCAGAAGATATCAAGGTTTTATGTGGAATGCATGAAGACAGCAGCACAGAGACATCTCTGTGGCATTTCTGTTTTGACAGAAAATTAATAACTGAAGTGAGCAACAGTTGAAGCAATAAACACACATTTGTCTACTGTAATCACTCATGGACTTTGATAGTGCCTGCTAACTAGTTACCTCTCTGCCCATACCAAGTAAGCCATTCCCAAATTAAGGTGGTAGAACATTTCCCTTATTCTCCCTCTTGCCTTATAAATGTTCTCAAAGGAGCTGATCCTGTTAACTATTAAGGCCTTTTCCTAGTCTACTCTCCAAAATGCACAATGGGAGTTGCATCTAAAGAGGATATGGAAATACATATTTGTTTATGCCTCTGAAGAATGACAGGCTTTTTTGTTTTAAGCTTTGGAAAGAGGTGGTCTCACTCTAAGACAACTCTTGAAATAATTCCAGCACCCCTCTGGAAACTGGATATGTCATAGTTGTGAAGTTGTTTGTGAAACGGTTAGGAAGATAATTCCTCCTGATTTACTGAGAGTAGCTAATGTAACAAAACTAAACACCCAGTGTGAAAAACAGGGTGAAAGTGAAAAGATATACAAGGCAAGGAAACCTTTAATAAAGAACAGCTCTGTTATGCTCTTCCTTAAATTCAACTCTAACCAGCCAAAATCTCACCGGAACTGAACCAACACACTAGTGTTTCGGTTTTTGTTTGGTTTGTTTTTTTTTTTTAAACAGACCGGTTACCCCCTTTGTGATAAATATTCTACAATTTAAAACAGAACTGCCTCTATCCTTAAAAAGATTAGCATACTTATTTGGAAAAGGGCTAACCTTACACCCATTTACATATGCATAAGAATTTTAATAGTCTTAGTACTTTTAGTATTTCAGCCAGCTTCACTAAAAACACATTATTTCTGTTTAATATTTAATAAAATCCTGCTCAACAGCTGGTCAATTCATTAGTTACAGAGGATAACATTACCATGCCTATGTCATCACAACAAAAAACCCCTCACACTATTTAGAATCATATCAGGGAATTATCCCAGTGATAAGGTGATTCATATATCAGGGATGGAAACCACGCATTTCTCAGCATTTTAAGCCTTTACTTTTTTTTTTTTTTTTTTTTTTTTTGTTTTAATGCTTAAACGAGTACAAACAGTTAATGAACAGATTTTGGTGACATATCCATATTCGTCTTCACTTTTTAAAAAGGAGAATTAATCATCTACAAGAGATTGTCTCTTTGTAAGTATGGACATATACAAAGCTTAATGCTCTCTGTCCAGTCTGTACCTATGTAGGAAATGGCACTTACTCAGGGTAAATTTGGAACAGCATTATCCGCAGGATAGTCAGGATCCAACTGTTCATCAGTTGAACGTGCTGCTCCACAGCTATAAAACCTTAACTGTCTGTAGCCAAAGCAGAAGCTGTTGCACCCACAGAAGTAGCAGCAGACTGAGTAGTATTTAATTATTAGCTTGTTATGAACTTGAACATAAGCAAACTTATACAGCATGGCTAATGAACAATAACTCAGGCCTTTACGCCAAATGCATTTCTATGCCAAATGTGCAAGGCCCAAATTCTGGCCTCTTACGCTTATGAAATTATTAGGAGAACTTGTGTGAGCTAGAGCTGGGTGCCAGGTGCCTCTTGTTATGGCATACAGCTTAGATATGAGATAAAAAACAAAGGCCTCAAAAATTCGAGCAAAGGTTGAAAGCAGAGGCCCCAGAACTGTAAGCAACTAAGTGATGGTCAATTATTAGTCACTGATGAAGTGCAGCCTTGAGATTTGGGAAAAAAAAAAAAAAACAATCTGCTTTTCTTTCAGTAGCATCAAAAGCTGAAAAGGAGGAATAATACTAACTAAGAAGATAAGGCACGTGTGACAACCTTGAACATCCTGCCATCAAGGACCATAGCTATCAGTGCTCTGTGGTACTGCATGCTCAGGATTCAATTAAAATGAGATTGTTACAGGCTAATTGCTTTGAATATGCAGCAGTAATGACTAGGAATTAGTAAGAACTAGCCATTAGCAACGTGTGTTAATGAATATCAGTCTAGTGAAGTTTTTTTATAAAGTTTATAGCTGGTTTAAAACTTTTTCCAGCCTTCTAAAACTTCAGTCACAGCAGTCTCCCGTTCTCTTCCTACGTATATCCATACACAAACTACACGTATTCAGTTGCAGCATCACGCTGCTGTGCCTGAGCCCACACAATTTGTTATTGTATCACAACCAGCTCAAAGAGGTGCTCTTAAAAACCAACAGATCAGGATCCCAATGTAAATATTGATCTATTTTCCAGATTGTTTTCTGATGAGGGCACGCCGCACTTCTGTTTGCAACTGTTTGATTCTGTAGAACAAC